CAGAGGACCTTGTCAAAACTCAAGTTTTTTTGCTGCAACTTACGTTTGTGAAGTCAAATGCTCTTAAATCCTCTTATTTGGGAACTTCCTTAATCACAGAATAAGGTTGTCAGGCACAAAAAGAAAAATACCAGAGAAACAGAGTCGAGGTCACTTGTACAAACTCTAACTGAAGGCAAAGAGTTAACAGCAAAAAGGGGGGAGGAGGGAGGGGAGAATCTCATTTCCCAGGTGAAGTCCCAAATTACCTGCTAAAGAGCCAGTGAGCATATAAAAATCTCTATTTTTGAGCTGAAAAAAAAGTGGCTTCCAAAAACCAATAGCTGCCTTGAAAAACACAGGTCCTGAGACCAAACACTGGCAGGAAAGCATCGGTTCTAGTAAACCTCAAGTCCAGACTATCTCACATCTTCTGGACGCTAAGCCTGAAAATACCATTTCGAAGCCTGGATTAGTTTGAAAAACCTTAAGAATCACCACTCCAGTCCTGTACAGGGTGACTTCTAGCTCTGCTTGACCCTGGCCAAGCTGGGCATTCACAGATCCAAGTGAAGCAACTTGACAGGAGAACGCCAACAGCTGCAGGGAGAGAAGAATTTCCTTTATCTTGCCTTGTCAAGGCAAGAGGAGTTTCTGGGTTACAACTAAGCAGTGCTCACCAGCTCTGCAAGCATCTACAGGGAGCCTTAAGCACTGACAGGGAAGTGCTGCTTGGTGCCATTTCTCTATTCCTATGACTTTAGCCCTTGAACCTCATTCCCCTCTTTACTGATATTCCCCCCAAACCAGGAGAGTTTCTTCCTAGCTTCTTTTATTTAGTGTTCTATCACTTTACAAGACAAGGAAGATAAGATCTAGTTTTGGTTTTGATAAAACAATAGTAACAACAAATCCTCCTGGCATCACACTCCTTTTTAAGCTTTTTAACTGTCCCTTTTCAAATATATTACTCCATTCCATAAGTATCTGGTACTCCTTTTTTACTGTCTCCATACAGATCCCGACAATGGCCCTGAGGCTTAGTCAGGGCCGCTCATCAACCTGTTCTCTGTGCGTATGGCTACTCAGGCACCCGCTAGAAGCACGCAAAGGGCAAGAACAGGGCCAACACACACAACAGTACCACTCACTCCTTTGCCTTCCCACACCTGTTCCGGCGAGGCCGCTCTCCTGAGCCTGCAGTCATCTCCCTAAAAGCTCTCTGAGAACCCCCCAGGCTAACGCTACTGGGGCCAGGTATGGCGGCTGCCGAGACAGCGTCCTGTCACCGCGGGGATAAAGCACCCGTACCCCACCCAACAAGCTGCAGGCACTCACCTTCTTTTTGGAGCCTGGGCTCGGTCTTAGGTTGGCCAGACTGACCCTAGGAAGCGACCGCAGCAGTTCCAGGGCCTTGCTCCCGCCATTCCCGCTCATGTCCGCTCACCTCCCAAGGGCGGCCGCAACGCTGGTCCGCGCAGTTGCTTTACGGCAGAACCATAAACCGCACCTCCCGCGACTTCTCAACAGTGTCGTGCAGGCTCCCCTGCTAGCCGGGGTGTAGAGGGAGCTGCGGTAGCGTAGGGCAGAGACTGGGAATCCTGCCCGGTGATCTAGGGCGCCCGAACCGTGGGGCGGGAAGAGGTGCGTCGTGCCCGAGCAGAGGGCCCTGCCACCTCCGGCTGAAGCCTCCTCGGGGCCGGGGGCGGAGAGGGATCAGCGCGGCTGCCGCCTTGGGCCTCGGCTGGCTCCTGCCGCCTACGCTCTGTGCTGGGATGAACGGGGAAGATGCGGAGAGTCCGGGGCTAACGTGTGTTAGAACACTCGTGGGTCCCAAACTACGCATCCTTTCACAGTATTTACTTTTCTGTTACTCACAGATCTCAGTCACATAACACCAAGCCTTTACGACCACTGGTCTGCATCTAAAACCAACTGACAGAACATCCCTCAAAAGTGCTACACCCTGCATCAATCCAACAAAGTTTAAAGGGAGATACTTATTGGAAATGTGCATGACTATTAAAGACATGGAGCTCTTGGAGCAAGTACAGAGGAACACCACGAAGATGATAGGGGGCAGAGCAGTTTGGGTTGGAAAGGACTTTAAGATAATACAGTTCCAACTCCCTTGCCATGAGCAGGGACACCTCACAACAGACCATGTTGCCCAAGGCTCTGTCCAACGTTGCCTCAAACACTGCCAGGGATTTACCACTTCTTTGGGCACCCTGTCCAGCTCCTCACCACCCTCACAGTAAAGAACCTTATAGCTAATTTGAACTTCCTCTGTTTAAGTTTAAATCTGTTACCCCTTGTCCTATTGTTACAGTCCCTGATGAAGAGTCCTGCTCCAGCATCCCTGTAGGCCCTCTTCAGATACTGGAAGGCTGCTATGAGGTCTCCATGCAGCCTTCTGTTCTCCAGGCTGAACAGCCCCATCTTTCTCAGCCTGTCTTTGTATGGGAGGTGCTCCAGTCCCCTTATCATTCTTGTGGCCACCACATCAGCGACTGTGGTGATGAGACAAGGGCTCATGGCCCTTGATGATCTTGAGGTCCAATCTTAACTATTCTGTGATTCTTTGATGAGAGACTATCCTTGTACTTGACCACTTCTGTTATTTTAATCTAAGAAGTAGACCTACTGGAAAATCACACAGCAGTTTCAACCAGTATATGGGTCTATACTTACTCTCTGAAGCAGGGGGTGCAGGGTGTAGACAAAGAACTGAATTCTAGAAGCTGCTGCTGAGGAGTTAGCAGAAAGGCCAGTTCCTGTTGTGAAAATTACCCAGTACTCCTTGGTGCAATATCCTGCTTTTGGTCCTGAAACTTCTGTTTGACCACAGCCTTCTTCCCTGTTGAATGTCTGTTTCAGATTACATCTTGGAGGACAGGTCACATAACAGCTCAGCCAGTTCTGAGAGTAAAGGCGTGAAACGGAAATAATGTTGCAGAAATTAGCAAGCAGAAATTAGCAAGTTTCACCCAGAAATCTGTACAGCTTCTTACCCCCCTTCAAAAAATTAATAAAAAAAATAATACAAATTGCAATGCAACAACCCACAGGAAACTCAGGTATGGACAACCATCTTATCCAAGTCCGTTTCAGCCTCCAGGATAGGGAAAAATAGACAGTTTAGAGCATGGTTTGCCTTGTAATGCTCTCTTTAATCAGAACACTGAAATTAGATGGAGAAGTATCACCTGTATGATAGACACCTCACTGTAAAGAGACAGCCAACTTGCATGTATCTGAAAGATCCATCAATCAGTTTTCAGCAGCTCAGCTCCTCGAACATTTGCCTGTAAGGGGCAGAGTGCATGCTCAGTCCACGCAGTGCTCACCTCTCCTCAGTGCCCCTCAGCCTCACTGGCAGCAGCTGGGAATTCAGGGAAGTTCACTCCAGCTATACTGACTAAAAGATTAAAAGCTTGGTCTAATTATGAGCAGAGTACTGATCTCCTAGCCCAGAGGTTCATCACCTTATGGAGGTGGTATATTCACAGTAAATAGCAAAATAGAGAAGGAACACAAAACTTTGTTCATGCCCCAAAAGGATGCTCTACAGCAAGAGTTAGGTTCAGCATAATTGGGAAGCACCTGACATAATGGGAAGCTCCAGATCTTTTAGGAATCTTTTATGCGTGAGCTGTATTTTCTTAACAGATGTGAATTGGGTGCAGTAGGTGAGGCAAGAGCACACACTAAAGTAGAGAGAAATCAAAACACAAAGGGCTACCTGTGAAAATAACCCAATTTTAGCAATAACAGGGACCCCCTGGCATAAATGCAGCTTGATAACCATGGCAAAAGAGGCTGTGTGTTTAATGTTATACAGCTGGCACAAAGGCTTTTCCAACATACTTGATGCAGCCATGCTGATAAAAATATAAGGGTTGTTGAGCAAAAGCTTTATGAAAAAACATCTCTGCCTGGTGTGGAACATGCTAGTGGGTAGGATGTGAAAGAAGCATAGCGTGCTCTCAGCTGTTGTTTGAGCTGCCAAGAAAGCATCCTTGGTAGCCAGATACCACCCGGCAAATACAATGAGTAGATTGACTTTCCGGGAGCAAGTATCTGACAAAGATGTATGGAACATAAGACAAAGAACAAAGTCTTTCATTTTGATAGAAATGTGTTTGCCATACTTGCTTGGAGTTGGTCTAAGTATTTGGAATGGACTGGAATGATCCAGTAATTTCAATACAGAGTGCCTGAATAGCCTAATACATTTCAAGATGAATAAGAATCATCGACTCTTTGGCTGTAAGCCAAAAGCTTTAATTTGGTGATGAAGGCATCTGATCTGATGAGAACAAACGAGTTCCCTCTAACAATGCTGCTGTTTACTGCATTTGCGCTGGTTTTCCTGTTTCCCATGACTTATTCTTTTGTATTTAGCTATTTAAGAATACTCTAATATCTCTTTTACCCTAAGCATAAAATATGCCTATACAGCATAAATACGTACAGCTCATAGATATGCACAGCCAATAAGCATAATGATTTTTACAGGAAACAAACCACAGACATGTACAAATCACAATATACAAGTGCAAAATAATCTGGCATATATATATCTATCTGTTTGAAAGGTAGTTTTAAAGGTGCTCAGGCACTGGAACAGGCTTCCAAGGGAAGTGGTGGAATCACCGTCCCTGGAAGTGTTCAGAAACTGTGTAGGTGAGGTCCTTGGTGATATGGTTTAATGGTGGACTCGGCAGTCCTTGGGTAAAGGTCGGACTAGAGGATCTCAAAGGTCTTTTCCAACCTGGTTAATTCTATGATTCTAAGGTGAAAGGCAGTTCAAACTCTGAACTCCATATGGCCGTCTTCGTGCTGCTACCCCGGCGACAGCCAGGCCCGCAGACGGCCACCGGGCACGGGTGTATATGTGGGGCTCCTGCCACCTGGCACGGGGGTATATCTGGCGCTCCTGCCACCATGCCTAGCTCCCGGGCTGCTGCTTCCCCGTCTGCGACACTCCTCCTTTCCTTCCCGCCCACCTTCCTCCTCCCCCCTGGCTCGGCGCCAGTCCCGCCTCCCCGCTCCTGGCCAGTGTCCCACTGGCCGCCTCGCAGCCCGGTGTATGTGCGGTAACAACATGTCGGCGCCGCTCCCCGCCATCGTCCCGGCCGCCAGGAAGGCAACAGCTGCTGTGAGTGCGGATCGGGGCGAGCCAAGGGCAGGCGTCGGAGGCTAGGGGCCCCCGCCCCCCTTTTGTTCTCAGCTGTGGCTTTAGCCCCGGGCGGGGGCCTCCGCACCGCCGGTCGCGGAGGCCCCGCAGCCTGAGGGCGAGGCCGCGGTCAGGCCCGGCCCGGCTGAGGGTGGACGCCTGGTGTGTGTGTGTTGGGGCGGGGGGGATTATGGCGAGGCGGCCCGGCCCGGGCACTTTGACAGGTCTCTCCCGTTACTTTGCTGCCTGAGGTCCCGCTCCTTTCGCGGCTGGAGTCCGCTCTGGGCACGGGAAGGTCATCGGTGTCGGCCCTGTGTGCCGGGCATGGGCGGGTGCGTCCGCTGATGGCGGCTGAGGGGGTGGAGAGCTGGAGAGAGGGGGATCCGGGTTGGAAGGGACCTGGGGTCTGGGGAGCCAGCATGGGGGAGAGCTGGGATGGGATGAGTGAAGCAGAGTTTTCTTTTGAGAAAGTCCTGTGGAGCTCCTAACTGTGTGATCGTGTGCGGGCTACTGTGGTACGCAGATTAGGTGTGGTTATTGTTTAGTAATCTTACACCACTACGTTTTCTTGTTTTGTTTTCCCTTTAGGTCATTTTTCTTCATGGATTGGGAGATACCGGGTGTGTATTCTCGTCTACTGCATGCTTAATAGTTGTTGTAGTTTCAAATATAAGGCTGCAAGCTTTAAAGGTGTGAGTCGTTAAGAGTTACTTAAGCTTCTTATTTAGCCCTTAACTAAATGCAGGGGCTAACAACAGATGAAACTTCATGTGTGCTGGAGGGATGGTGACAAATATTTATGCAGAATTTCCCAGCATAAGTACTCAAAAGCTTTTTCTTTTTTCAATCGCCTGATTTGGTCTGTATGTGATCCCTCTTTTGTTTCTGGGTCAAAGTTGTAAAAAAAGTCTGTAGATTTCTCATCTTTCACTTTCCTGAGAGTAGGTTCCTGGTTATTCCTGTACTTGTCTAAATTTAGAGGGTTGTTTGTTTTTTTTTCTTTCTCCTCTCCAGACCTGTGGGTTGCTTGTTTGCCAGTAGTTGCAGTTAGTCCATGTTTTTTTCTCCAGTGTGTCATATTTGCATTAAAATCCAGACTCACTTTTATCTAAGCAAAGTCTTAAGTGGTTGCCTAATATCTACAGATTTCTCTTTCTGAAATACAGTCTTAAGAGTCAAAAAAACCCTCACCCAAATAAGCTGTGAAATACCGTGCTTTCCTTGTTCCTGTTATTTCCATGTTTGAGTAGATATGGAAAGAGTAGAGAATTTATTGGGGGCATTCTAGGTGTGGTGTAATGTTTCCGTTTGAAGCTTGTGTGTGCTGAGATACTGAATTAAAAGGAGTGTGTTGACACCTTTTTTTGGTGGAAAACCTGAAAGAAATTACACTTAGATACTGAAAATAAGTAGCGTGAGCACATTGTCTGAGTTCTTCCTTACAGGTGAAATTGCATAATACTGGTTTTGTTACGTGAAACTTGTACGTTGCCTCTGGGTTAAAACTTGTAATGTTTAAGACACAAACTTTTTCTGAGGAACTGAAAAAAAAGCCAGCTTTCAAAAATGAAAGTTGTGTAACCTGGGCACTTAACACATTAAAAAGAGTCAAATCCATACAATTGGCAGCATTCTACAAGTGGAGATGTTTGCTCTGTTGTGCTGACACACCACCTTGTTTGCAATATCTCCCTTACTGCTGGTAGGACGCAGCTGAGGCAGCAGAACTGCCTTGGTGTCTTGGCACCAAATGTTCAGCAAGTGATTGCAGAATCTTTTGACCCTTTGGAATTCAAGTCCTTGCAAATTGGGTTGATGCTGGTTTTGGCAAGGGAAAAAAAAACACAGATTTGATTAAATTTGTGTTAAAGAGATTTGCTCTGTAACATAAATTGTATTTCATATAAAATGTGCTATTTCCATTTTGGTGACAAAGCTAACACAGTCTCCATCTCTGAGCATACTGGAATGTGTGCATTAACACGTCGTAACACCTCCCTGGAAATACAGTGATTTAGCTCCATTTGTTCCTTTTGGCTACTGCAGATCAGATTAGCTAAAGCTGCCTTTGACATCCTGCTGTTTTTTTCCAAAGGAGTTGCAGTAGTGACACAAAAAAAGATTGTCTGAAGAGAACAGTTTTATCAGTTCCCACAGTTCTACTTCGTGAAATTTCAAATTGCTCACTTCAATTTACCAACTGTATTTTTCTTATTCTGAGAAGTGTCTAACAGAGGTTATGTTCTTTTTCTCTCTTAGCTCCTATATAAATGGCACTTAAAGATTGGTACATACTTGTCAAAATCTGAACAAAAGGTACAACACAGAGGCTTGTTCTAAGGAGTCTGCCTACTGTGTATACAATGTTGCTTTCCAAATTTATATTTATAGCTGGCTTAAGAAAGTCCCCAAATTCTTACCTAACTACTTCTCAGTCGTATTTCTCATTAAGATTCTTATTTGGCCTTCTGTGATACTGCAAATATTATGCAAGTAATAGCACACACAATTTGTTAATAGTATATATAAAAGTATTGGTAGGAAGTAGGCTGACATATACAGCCAGTATTTCAAATGTTTGTGCTGTCTGTGTGTTTGAAATGTCTCTAACTTTGGGTAACATACATTAACTTTTTAAGATGATACTAAATTTAAAACTAAATCAGACATGCTTTTATGGCTTACCTGTTGTTGGTCTCATTGGTTCAGTTGTGTCACTGATGAATTTGTTAAAGGTGTTCTCTGCTTACAATCAACTTTGCAGTATCTAGTTAAGTGGGTGAGTTAGGAATACTGAATAATGAGAAAAATCAGGAAATACAAGTCCTATTGTGTGTTCTGGAAAGCCAAGTGCAGGCACAGGCAGTGGTTCTTCCCAGGTTCAGATTTGGGTCCAGCTTGCTTCATGTCTAGATGAGTCCTGGAGTGAGTCTTTCAGAGCTGTTTATTTAAATTGTGCTTTCCAGTTTCCTGATTTGTAGGAAGCTTGATAACTCGTCTGCTATGCAGATCTTGCTTGTTCCGGGCATTCATACAGCATGTGCTTGACGTTAAAAAGCTACCTACAGTTTGGACTGTAGTTCAGAACTGCTTGAATCTAAGAGCATTCAAGCTGGCCCAGGGCTAAGGGATCTGATGGATTAGGTTGGCTCCCCATTGAGTTAGCTTTGATGGCAGCTTGCTATGATCTCACAGCAAGAAATGTGGCTTGTAAAAACAAATCTGTCTGTGAAGGAAGCTGCTTTAACTCTACAGGAGCAGCAAAGCAGTCTCTGGGCTAGAGCTGCCTGGAAGCAGATACCTGCGTTCATGTCTTGTGGTGCCCAGGTTAATAAATCCAGCCAAATAGAGAGCAGGCTTTGCCTAGAGCCAAAGTGGTATTTCTACAGCTGTGCTGCAACTGTAGTAATCAAATTAGATAAAGTCTCCCTGGCTGTATGCAACAAACACTCAGAGGCAGAACAAACCCTTTAAGTTTAGTACTGTATTCATAGCATACTGCAGTTGATGTAAAAATTCCCTGGAAATGTGTTTATATTGATCTAATTTGGCATATTTTATACTTGGTCTGTGCTGTTGCACCAACACAGAAATAAGAGCTAAGCCAAACATAAATTGCATTTAATGTATTTTTTGTTAACAGGCATGGATGGTCAGAAGCGCTTGCAGGTATCAAAAGCCCCCATGTAAAATACATTTGCCCACATGCGTAAGTTTGTAACTTCTCTTGTTTTACCTTTTTCTGTAGAGTTGTATGTTAAGATGCTCTTGCAGATGAAGTCAGAAGGGATTTGAATTTTTTAATATAAAACACCACTGTAAAATAATGTTGATGCTAATGAGTATTTTTTTATTTTTGGGAACTGCTGTGTGATTTATTTAGGGCAAAACTGCAGTTTTATTCATATTTTTCTTTTATTACTAATTCAGACTGAAAATAGATTTGGAAAGTTTTATGTGCAAAATTATAGATTATTTTGATTTTATGTTTTCACTGGATTGGGTTGTTTGTTTCTTCCCCTCCCCCCCCAACAGTAATTTGTTAAAAGCCTGTTTTAACAAGGAGTAATTTTCTGTATTCTACTGATGATTAGATATACTTTGTACTAGGTACATGTACTTAAACTTAAATGGGCTTATAGTAGATGAGACTTCTGTTACCTACAGCGAATTTCAGAGGTTCACAGGGTATTCAGATTTTCAGTAAATAAGGTCACTTGGGCTGTCTTCTTGCAATCTGAGAAGTGAAATACTTCTAAGCAGGGTCAGGAGTCAGTAAATAAAACATTGAGATCTATCTAGTATTTACTTAATGTTAGAAAAAAATAATTAAGTATAATCTTAATTTATTTTAATACAAAATTTAGGTTGTCTTCTGCTCCAACGGTTTTGGGAGATGTGGAGCAGGGATGATAGGGAGATAAATAGGCAATGTTTTGGTTTGATTACTGGGATGTGATTTATTTATTTATTTTATCATATGGCCATGCTTTGCTGAGCCATTCAAAAAGAGCTTAGCAGTATCTGCTCTTTCTTGTTTCTTGCTCTTTGTTTTCTTTCAGTTTTTCCCTGCAGAACTTACAGAATCATAAAATCATTCGCTGGTTTGGGTTGAAAGGATCTTAAAGACTACTTAGTTCCAACACCTTCCACTAGACCAGGTAGCTTAAAGCCCCATCCAATCTGGCCTTGAACACTGCCAGGGATGGGGCAGCCACAACTTCTTGGGGCAACCTGTTCCAGTTCCTCACCACCCTCAGTAAAGAATTTCTTCATAATATCTTATGTTCCTTAGTTTCTGTAGATAAAAACTATAGCCAGATTTAATCTGTAGTGTGGTCCATTGAAGTGGTTGTGGAGTGTCTGAAAAGATGCTGTGAAGCAGCGTAAGATTGGGAATGAGTCCTCCAGTGAAGGCAGGCACTGCTTAAGCAGATTCAGTTGTTGAGATAAGCATGTGTGGCCAGGCTTGTATCCACGGGTATGCTACATTTAGCTGCTTCCTTAGGTCGGCTGATGCTGCTATGCAAGGTGCCTCTATCCACTGAGTATTTGTGTAGAACTGTGATAAATAACTGTTACTCAGAAATAACTGAATTGTATATATAAAATATGTATATGATTTATATGCAGTACCCCCACCCCCCCACCCCCCCTACGTACAAAGCAGCCCATGAATGCTTTGCTTGCTCTCCGTAGAAAGTGGCTAATTCAGCCCTGAATATTAAATGTGTTTGGGCTGGCAGGTTTCAAGAGAGATTTCTTGAAGAGACGCTACAAAGTAGCTAATGTTAATTATGGTTTGAAAGAAAGATGGAATTAGGGATATGTAATTTCATGATATAACTGCATCTGCATTATTAAATTTCAGTATATATCTTATGTCATTTGTGTTCATTCTTATTGTTAGGCCAGTTATGCCAGTTTCTTTGAACATGAACATGGCTATGCCATCATGGTGAGTATTTGTTCAACCGTGGATGATTCTAATCAAAAGATATCTAGGGGTTTGAACTCACTGTTCTTAATTAAAACATGAACAACCTGACTGGCTGGGTTTAATTACGTGTAAGTATAAAAGGGTTTTTGCTTTAGTTCTATTCTTTTAAAGGGCTCTCATGAGTACACTCTAATTCTCTTTATGTATCTATGATAATGGTTATTCTTTTGAACTAATCTGTGTATCTTATAGTATATATATAGAGAGAGATTATATATATCGTATAGTCTGTAGTCTGTATTATGTATGATTTCATAGTAGTAGTAGAGATGGAGTGGAAGTATTATTGCTACTAGTGAGAAATATTTGGCAGGTTAGTTGGATATCTAGCAACTGGTTTTTTTTTTTTTTTTTTTTTTAGAACATCCATTCTGAATAGAAAATAAGATAATTTCAATGGGTTTAAACCCATCCTTTTGTTTTTTTTTTTTCTCAAGTAACTTGTGTTTGTTTTTCCTATATTTTTTCAAACAGTATTCTAATTTTGTACATGCAGTTTATAAACTGAAATTCCTGCTGATATTTTTGGAGTAAATGCCAAAACTGAGCTGCTTTATCTGCAGCAAGTTACAGAAGATATCAAAACTCAGAAAAGCTTTGTTGACTAGATGTAGCCTTTTAGTCATATTCACAGGTTGTCCATTATTTCTTGTAATCTATGGGTGGTTGGTACTAAATAATATATTAGCTAGCATTTTCATCTGGAAATTATCCCAGTTTTATTATTTGTGTTTTAGGGAAGTGGAATGGATGCTCTAATGAGTAATGCTTTTGTTCATATTTTTGTAAGGTTTGATATCATTGGACTTTCTCCAGATTCACGGGAAGATGAAGCTGGGATCAAGCAGGCAGCAGAGAATGGTATGCTTAGGAAGTACTTTCTATGTCTTAAAAGCGCTTCTTAGTATTCTTAAAAATGAAGTATCAGTCTGAAACTGATTTTAGAAACACAAAGTTATTAGGGAAAATAATATGTATATGTTGTATTATTGGTGATCAAAGTTTAGCTAAGTGCATTGTTTGGGTTTTTTGTTTGGTTTGGTGTTTTTGTTTTTAAAATCAAATGAGTAAGTAGAGCAATTCACCCACATAAACACTTCATACTCTCAAATATGAAATGTACATGGGAACCAGTGTACTCTTAAGAGCTTCTGAGTAGCATAGCAGGTTAGAGCTTTATGAGCATCCACTTGTGATGCTGGATGGTTAGAAGAGGATGCCATCCTCTTGGCCCTGGGGCTTTTGCAAGACTTGCCTGTTTTTCTCTTTGGAAATGGTATACAGTGGCACTAGAATTCCTGATCGTGCTCTAGATCTTTTGATACTTTTTAATGTATAGAGGCTATATTTTCCTTTCACTAGCTTTTTGTTGACATCAGGGAAGTCTTTCATCTTCTAGACTTTACATAGGACAGTGTTTTTTAACTACTGGCCTTTTACGTTACAGTTAAAGCACTGATAGATCAAGAAGTAAAAAATGGAATTCCTTCTAATCGAATTATTCTAGGAGGCTTTTCTCAGGTAAGGTATAGTTGAACTGTCTTTTTCTAGGGAAGAAACCTAGCTTTCCTCATACAGGAAATCCAGACAATGAATTGAAAAAAGCTGGTGTTACGTGCTTCTAAAATTTTAAGGTGTCAGTTTTGTTTTGCCTTAAGAAATGAATGTTTTCTAGTTTTATGCAAATAATTACTATTCCCTGGAAAATGAACATGCATGGGAAAAAAGATACTAAAATGAATAGTCTGTTTAAGTCTTAATGCACATAATGTATGTAGCTTTGCTTGAAAATCTTTTTAGTATTTTTAATGTAACATTAATTTGGTAGATATTTGATGGTCTGGATTTATTTGGGAAATCTTCCCTTCATACTTGAAAGACATCCTTGGTAGGTAGGTTAATAGATTATTTGGTCGATAAACCAACTCCCCAGTCTCCATGCAAGTAAATTAAAGTATTAAAGTAGTGATAATGGGGGGGAGGAGGTGCAGGGAGCAAAATAAAAGTTGTACAGGAATACTTGTTTTAGTGTTGGTTCTAAGGAAGAATAGATTGGAATAAAGAAAGACAAGCATTAAAAGGAACATTACTATCACCATCCTAATACTTCTATCTCTTTATCTCAGGGAGGTGCTTTATCATTGTATACAGCTCTTACCACACACCAGAAATTAGCAGGTGTTGTAGCCCTCAGCTGTTGGCTTCCTCTACAGGCTTCTTTTCCTCAGGTACTTGTTTTTTTCTTGAGCTAATTTGCACTTGGGAAATCGGTATATCTGAAGATTGTATCTTGTGCAGGAATTAGTGGCCATCGTTATTACCAAATATTGACACTTGTTTGATAACTCAAAAGGCTCTGAAGTTCTAGAGTTTGAAGGGAGCCTATAGGGATGCTGGAGGGGGACTCTTCATTAGAGACTGTAGTGACAGGACAAGGGGTAACGGGTTAAAACTTAAACAGGGGAAGTTTAGGTTGGATATAAGAAAGAAATTCTTTCCTGTTAGGGTGGTGAGGCACTGGGATAGGTTCCCCAGGGAGGTTGTGAATGCTTCATCCCTGGCAGTGTTCAAGACCAGGCTGGACGAGGCCTTGGGTGATATGATTTAGCATAAGGTGTCCCTGCCCACGGCAGGGGGTTTGGAACTAGATGATCTTAAGGTCCTTTCCAACCCTAACGATTCTATGATTCTAAGTAGAGAAAATGAGGAAATACTCAATAGCTATCTCTGGTTAAAATTACATTCCTAGGAAACTTAAAAGGATTCAGCAAATTTTCATTGAATATTAATTTTCTGTTTGCCATTTGTTCCATCTGCAAGACACTGTCTCATTAGAGACTAGGTATTTAAACAAACAGGTTTTTCTACTTGTCCAAAAATCATGATGTTCTGTTCTGAAATTAGTGCCACAGTTTTATTTGCAGGTTTTTGAACTTAACGTGTCAGGCACAGAGCTTATTTCATAAGGAGCTTGCAGACTATACTTTGAGGTTTTGTTGTTTTTTTTTCTTCAGAATTTAACTGATTTGTCATCCCACAGGGCATAGTGCCATGGGGTTATTTTATCTCAAAGTTATTAGTCATACTTACTATCTCTTTTTTCTCTTCTCCCCTCTGAATTCCACCCCTAACAGGGCTCTATCAGTGGTGTCAACAAGGATATTGCTGTTCTTCAGTGCCATGGAGACTGTGACCCATTGGTTCCTTTAATGTTTGGTTCTCTCACTGTTGAGAAGCTGAAGAGTATGATAAATCCTGCCAACATAACCTTCAGGACTTACTCGGGCATGATGCATAGCTCATGTATTGAGGTGATTTTCTTAATATACAATTTTTTAGCTGGGAGGTTAATTTCCCCCTCCCCCCAAACAAATATGTATTGGGTGGGGGTTCTGGAGGGTTGTCTGTGGAATTTTGTGTGGGGTTTGTTGTTATTTGTGTGGTGTGTTTTAATAAGTGCTTGATGCTACTGACTTATTTTAATGAGTAACTGAATGCCTGGCTGAAAAAGCATCCAAGGCAAAAGTTTGTATGACTAACAGGAATTTCTTCCTAAGATTGTAGTTTAGGGACTAGGCTAGTTAGTCTATAAAATACTGTTTTTTTTTTCTCAAATTTTTATTATTTGCTAAAAGGTATAAATAAATAAATAAAACACTGAATTAGAAGGCAGATTCTCACAGCATAAATCCAACTTTGTATTTTGGAGAGAAGAATCCTGTTAGTTCTATGGTTGGAGCCATCAAAGGAATAGGGAGGGAGGGGAGGAGTGTTGATGGTACAGAATAGGAAGCCTCAGATCCTATGTTTATGGGTCTGGCTCAACACACAGTTGAGCTGATGTAATGGCTTGCTGCTGCCAGAAAGGGGTGGACTAGTTCCTTCTGCTCATGACCCTGTGGCACTCTCTTCCTTCTTGTACCGGATCTGGGGCTGATCAGGTATTTCTTTGAACCATTTGAACTTGCTAAAATGGCAAAAGCTGCTGACCAGTTTTGGCAGCTGACATGAATTGAAGCATCAGAACTCGCACAAAGCAAACGGTAGGAGCAAGAAACAGAAGAGGAGACAAGGAACAGATCTGCCGTTTGTCAGCAGCAGTAACTTTGTTAATTTGGATTGCTGCATCTTGTGGGAACTGTACCCTTGGACAACCTCTTTGGGATGCACAGAGTTGTGTTTTGTTTAGGCAGTAATATCATTGAGTTGTCACATAAAAATAATGGGCTCTTTCTTACAGCATAGTCTTAATAAAAATATTAATTATTTTTAATACGGATTGGTTTCCCGGTCTAGTTTGCTGTATTGCTTTTCTTTAGGGAAGAAAGTATCATGAAGGTGAAAATGAACATTTAGGTGGAGGAGCTGCTGGATTTTCACACTTCTGCTGACTTGCAGAAGTTTAAAGTATACACAAAGGTGCAGCTTTAGCCACATTCAAATCCTATCCATGTTCAGTCTGGTGCTATTCAGATCACCTGATAATTAATATGTAGTTTGCTTGTTCTACCTCAGAGAGAGAAAGAGAGGGTAATAAAGTAGTCTTTGCTCTCTTTCTTGTATTCTAGCCTCCTCTGAGTGCACAGTGCCTTGAAGCGTTATCAGCCTTGACTTGCTGTGTGCGAAGTGGTACAACTGTATCAAGACCTAATTACTCAATACTTATAGCCCAGCTACTCATTATAACTGGAATGGTGAACATGATTTAGTGTATCTGAATATATATTAGTATGGAGCTTCAGCTAATGCATACTTTTATCTTTAAACAGGAGATGATGGATGTAAAGCAGTTCATAGACAAACATCTACCTCCCATAGACTGAAATAATACGTGAGAAGCCTTCTGTATAAATACACCAGCATCAACTGTGGTAGAGTGTTAATCTTTTCATATGTCTGATAGGAAGCATTACTTCTATACCTGCAGTGTTACTACTGTGTTGCAAATTTATACTTAGGATGAGGATTAAATAATGTACAAGAAATGGTTATCTTTTTGGTATTAATCATCCACTGGTGGGACTATATGAATGAGGCAGCTAGATAACAATGACAGAATATAACCTAACATACTGGTTTAAAACATCTGATTTTTTTTTTTTTTATTTTATTGCAGAATTAAACTATTTGTACAAGTAATTAAAAACTAAATTTAAGTGAGCAACATAAATGTGACCAGTTTAGTTACACTTGAGACATTATTTGTTTTCAGTACTCATTGGAAAGGTATTACAGCATTTCCTGCATAAAGTACACAACATGTAACGCAGTGGGCATATTATGGTAGAATAAACGGTGCTAAGGACAGAGCTTTATATGTTAGTTGCTACTCCAGATAAGGAGGGTGATTCTCCTATAGTGGTGTCCTGGGTTCAGCAGTAGCAGTCATGTTTTTGCTTTGTGTTAACTGGTGCAGTGCTGTGTTTTGACTTCTAGCTTGAGAACAGTGTTGGTGAAGCCGATGTTTTCGGTTGTTGCTAAGTGATGTTTACCCTGACCAAGGACTCTGTGAGGCTCATGCTCTGCCAGGGAGGAGGGGAAGCTGTGAGGAAGCAGAGACGGGGCGCCTGACCCGGGCTAGCCGGGGAGGTATTCCATACCACAGCACGTCATGCCCGGGGTGGGGGGTAACTGGGAGTTACCCGGAAGGACAGGGGTTTCCGGGTGGAACTCGCTTTCTTGGCCGGTGGTATCGTATTCTCTTCCCTTGTTATTTTCCCTTATCATTGTTTTAGCTGATAGTAGCGGTGGTGATTTGTTGCTGGACTGTTCTTGTCTCAACCCGTAGGAGTTGCACTCTCTCGATCCTCCTCCCCGTTCCTCCAGGAGCGGGGAAGGGGAGAGCCCCGGTGCGGGGGGGCGGGGGGGGAGATGGACACGGACCTCGATTGTTGTCAGCTCGGCACCACTCACTGGGAGTGAGTGAACAAGTTACGTGACTGGGTTTAAACCACGACAAATGGCTAGAAGTCAGTGTATTTTGACCACCTCAGTTTTTAACTGTTTCATATTGGTAGATATTGTTTAAATTCTGAAGGGACTCATTCCATGTCAGACCATGATTTGATGCTCATTGTCTTTTGGTGGTTTTTTTTTTTGTTTGGTTTGCTTTGTTAGTTTTTTTTCAGTTACTGTAAACTGATGTCAAATGCTGACTTGGAACAGAATTCTGAAGAAGTGCATAGAGTCGGTTCAAGTTTCAGTTCAAAATTCCTGGGTTTGTACTGAATATCTGAATATGTCTTGTGCTTTAGTCTGTGTAGTTTTCATTTGTGTAGATATGTTGATATATTTCACAGAGTAATTCCAGAATATAGTTTTGATTTTTCTGTCTGCTTTGGAGTAACTAAGTGAAAATAATGCAGCTGTATAGTTTTATCTATTGTTGAAGTCTCATCTGTAACACAGGCATTGACTATAATTTGAATTATTTTTTAATAGAAATACAAGTGCAATTAGGATGTAACTTACTTTAAAATTGTACCATGTAGTACTTTCTTTCATTGCTTATTGAGACTTGGCCTAGGAATATGAAGGCCTACTGTGGGAAAAAATAAATCTGCAAGATACAGAATGTCTCTTTCAGAAGCTTAAAATCCTAGAATGCACTGGGTTACAGAAATTGATGCACATTCAAAAGCGTTTTGCAGTTAAGAGCCATAATTCACTTCTGGAAACAGCTGCTTTTCTGTAGAGCTCAGAGGCTGTCACCACACAGGAATGTTTAAAAAAACACACTACAGTTTTTACTATGTATTAGGCTGCATAACAATGTTCTATACTACAATATGTTTGCAAGCAAAGAATATTCCTTTTTGAATGCATCTCTTGTGTCAGCAATGTGCTTCATACCTGCATTTAAGGTATTTTCTCCTCTCCCAGCTTAATCAAGTGGTTCTCTTACAGTGTATATGGATTTATGTCCACAGCATCTGCAACACAAATGCATAAATGGGTAATTATGCATCTATAGCCCTTCTTTTTGCTGCCAGAAATCTGACTTGTTCACCTGGCATGAGTTCTTAATTTTCAGTGCTGGGTTTTATTTTTTTCATATGTATTGCACTTCATTTAAAGGAAGTAATTTTTCTTGTATAATCCAGTCTTTCTGGATTATTAAATGTCTCTTAACATGTAAAACTGGAAAGGAGTTTTTTCTAAATGGTATTGAAGTACACTTAGATATTCCATCTGTGTGGTTGAGAGGGCATGTCTGTTAACTTTTAAGTTTAATTAGTTTTTTCCCTTCAGTCACTGTTCTATACATCTGCCAATTTGTCTTTCAGTTAATTTAGTTCGCAGAAGAAACGGTAATATTCTTATTGTAGTTGTGCCAAAGTTCTACTGAGAAAACAATATGTTCTAGCTTGGAGTCATTCCTAAATTGCATTAGCTAATTTTGCAGTCCTGCTGAATCGCAGACTTGGTAAGCAAACCATATGAAATTTCTCCTAGTTTTCAGATTTCCTATCACCCCCCCCGTTGTATAAATAATTCCTTGAATATTGGCATGTTTCCAGCATTCTTACCCAAGCTTCTGGGTTTTTTTCTTTATTTTTTGTTCTGTGTTTAAATTGTTTGCAAATACTGTTCAGCTTCTCATTGTGTGCTCATTTCACATATTCTTTCTTTTGTTAGAATGAATTTAAAAAAATATTTCTAAGATTATTAAAATGAGATCAGGCCTAGCTTTATTCTGTGTTAGCTTTGTAACATTTTCTTTACTTCATGAACTGTGTTCACAAATTGTGGTCAGTTTCTAGTACTTACGAATTTTAATCCAAATCAGTTTCAGCTGTTGTCTCCATGATGATTTCAGATGTTTTTCTAGAAATGCTGTATGTGCTACCTTTATTCAAATATTCAGCTATTATAACAAGATTTTTTTTTTCATACTGTTGTTTTGCTGCTTGCATAATCTACAGAGAGCTGTGTTACCAAAGTAAATGGAAGCAAATGTTGTGACTTAATCTGAATTTCTGTATTCTAGGAAGAATTCCCCTCAAGTTTTTATTTGCAGAAGTCTATGTGTATGTTGTAGTTGGGGGTTGTTAAAAAGCCCAGAAGCTAGAGGAAACTTCAAGGATGTATCCTGTCTCCTGTATTACAGTGTGTATCTTGAGCTCCTGTCTTTTGTACCTTCCCAGCTGGTTAGAAAGCTGCGTATATGATATTGTAGCTGAACAGCTTCACTACCTGAAGGGATTTGATGCTGGGGTTATTGCCGTAACTGCATGTATTTTTAGGCTGAATGATAGCTTGGTCTGGTGTTGGGGTTTTCATAATATTTTATTAAAATGGAGAACTCACACTGTTAATGTTCTAACTGTGCATGTCCTAGCCTCAAAACCTACAATATGAAACTGTCAAATAATGAAATTTATTTGTTAGAATGTTGGACTTCCCCCAAAAGGGGTGATGCCTGACAAACCTTTTAAAGCATGATACGGAAATACTTTGTTTGCAGATCAGTTTGTTTCAATGGGTATCTAACTCTGTAATGCATTTTTGATTCCAAAATGGTATTTAAATTTGACTGCAGTTTTGTGTGGTCAGGAGCCTGACTTCTTGTTGGAATACGTTGCCCACTTTTTAATAAATATGTTGAGTTATGTATCATATGCCAAATCTTTCAGCCATTCATGAGGTAAACCTGTGCTGGGGTCTGTACTGTGATGAGTGCTGTACGATTTGGTCTCTTCCTCTTGTGTATAATCACAACACAGTAGGTTGGTAAAAATATTGTACACTGTAACTGGTATTAGAACTGTTAATTAAAACATGTTCTCTCTAATGGAGTGTACTGCACTTCATTGAAATCATTAAGATGCATCTTTTATGTAGAGATGCTATTTGTGTTGATGGATATGACCGAGAACAAACTGTATGTTAATGAAGCCATATGTACAAGGCCTGTGTATCTTAAATTTTATAAAGAAATACTGAACACTTACTCTTTGTGTTATGAAGTATAAGCCATTTGTATTTAATACAGACCTCTGAGATGTAACTTACTTAGTTTACTCTTTTTATTTATGATTAAGAAATCTTAACTTTGGAAATTATTTCTGTAGTAGGGAAAATTGTAAAATCTTTTCATTTTTATCATTGTGAAATAAATTTCAAACGGTGTTTGGGCAAGTACTAAAGACTTTTTCAATATTTACCTGAAGGAAGTTGAGCTTTCATGTGCTGCAAAACAGGCAGTTTAGAGGCTTCTTGCAGATACTTTGGATGGTAATTATGCATGATGCTGTAATACAAGAGAACAATGCTTTGTAGTTACTGAATCTAAAAGGGGGGAAAAAATCACATACCAAGTTATGTTTTGCTGCCTTATTGAGAGAATACTGAGTATGATCCCCCCCCCCCCCATGTTCTGGGTTAATTTTAACTTTTTTTTTTTTTTTAATTTGCCCTAATTTGGAAAGGTAGAGGAAATGAAAATATCTTCTAGTAGCCTTATTCTAGGACACTTAAGAGTTGAAGTCTTCTCACTATTTTGCTACACCTTTCTCTGGGGTTTCTGCGGTTTTGAGGAGCCTTTGAAGTTATATTAGGTTTGGCATGTATGCCAGTTAACATATTTGTTAAAGAAGCAGTTTTCAGGTCAGGGTTTACATGTGCTTTTTAGGTTAAGTGTAATATTTGAAGCTGATCAGTGGTACATGTAGTGTGGAGCCCTCTAGAGAAAACTTGAGATTATCTGGGACGACAGCCTGAGGGAATGGGGTGTACCCAGAATCATAGAATTTTGGTTTGGGTTGGAAGGGACCATAAAAATCATTCATTCCAACCCCCCTGCCATGGACGGGGACACCTTCCACCAGACCAGGCTGCTCAAAGCCCTGTCCATCCTGGCCTTGAACACTGCCAGGGATGGGGCATCCGCAACTTCCCTGGGTGACCTGTCGCACCATCTCACCACCCTCATAGTGAAGAATTTCTTTCTAATATCTAATATAAATCTACCCCCTTTCTGTTTAAAGCCATTCCCTCCTGTCATGTCACTACAGGCCCTTGTAAAAAATTCCAGCTTTCATACAGTAAAGGTAGACTTCCCCTCCTCAAGCAGCTTAAAGCAAATAAAAGGCTGCTTGTCTCCATAGACTGATGTCTGAAAGTCAGCATGCAGAACAGTTAGGAAGTTCATGAGTATATGGAAATGCACGATAAGATGCAGTGCTGTATATGAATATATTGTGGCAACTTACAAGTATAAGAATAGCTAGTACGAACAAAGAGTGATACTGTACAGAATAACTTGTCAGTTTATATTTTATGGAAACCTTTGAGTAATGTTCAATTTCTATTTACTTTCAGCCCTGGCACCCCTGAAGAGATAATTGTGAGGAGAAACATTGCCTAGAATTAGCATAATAAATAAATTACAATGTTCTATTGTATTAACCTTTATCCAATATAGTATGAGACCACTTGTGTAAGTGAAGGTGACTTTCAAAAAGTTTTCAGAATGATTGTTGGTTAACTTGGAAATAGGATTCTTTGAAGAATAATAGCTGTAGGGAAAAATAAAATCTTTCTTCTCTCCCTCCTCTCTCCCCCCCCTTCATTGCTTGCCACTCTCATGTTACCACCATTTGCCTTTGGGATAACAGGTTCTATTAATTCTCTTTGAGTGAAACAAATGCCTTTGATGTAGCTGATTAAAGCTGATTTAAATGAAGTACTTGTATAATTTAATGGACATCCACAAAGTGAATCAGTAGATAATGGCTGTCTCGTAGTTCCAGTTACTACAAAAGAGCAACCCATTGCTTCTGTTTTTTTTCTTTGCAAAACTTTTTCTAGGTAGTTTGCTGAGGTGTAGTGAACCTTGCTTCAGGCATCTAAGTAGGAGGTGCAGCTTCTGTGTGTGGAGAAGGTAGACTTCCCTCAGGATTGTTCAAGGTTCTTTTTTTTAAAAGGCTACTTGTTTGTATTAAGAAATGGAGCAGACGGAGTCTGAATGTTCCCTGGCTGTGAACATGAGCAAACTCTTCAAGTAGCTTCTGCTTGAAATCATTTGCCAGCTATGTTGTAGCATTTAAATTTATCTGGGGGGATCTTGAAAAGGCTTAAATATTTTCTGTATATGCATAAACAATAAGTGGAGGTTACCCCAGAAGAGAGAACTCTAATAACGTGACCTTAAAAAACAAAATGTTTTCTTACATATTCTGTATTTGTTTGCTTCCAGTTACTGCTTCTAAGTTGAAAAAAGTGAAGACATTTTGAATGTGAACTTAATAACATAGTGTGAACACCAGAATTTGAAAACTATACTTGGTATAACTTCAGACCATGCCATTATAATCTATAGGAAATGAATGAGTAAATTAAAAATCTCTCTGTTGAATAACCATAGAAACAACTAATCAAGATGCTTGTTACTGTTTCAGAAGTTTTTGAGGGAAATCTTGCCATTACAAAGAACTGAAACTTCCATTTGCTATAGCTCCACTTGTGTATCATGGTTGGACTCATCTCCCCAACTGGGGATCATTTGGCTGATTCAGACTGTTTCAACTTCTGTTTTGGTAGGCCTAAGTCACTGGTATACTGAAGGCTCAAGTAAAGAGGAGAGGTATAAAGGGTATAACACATGGTTACATAAAACCTTTGGAAATGCTGTGAATGTTGTGTTTTGCATAGCTAACACTTGATTAGAGGAGCTTTTCCCATACAGAATATTAGTTGTGAAAATAGAGCATGAAAGTGCATTCATAGGAGTTCAGAGATGCTTTGTTACACATATTTTTGTGTGTGCTACTGTTTGCACTCCTCCATCTAACCCTCTTCACCCCCCCAAAAAAAAAATTCTCAAGATGCTTTCTCTCATCAAATGAGATTAGTAAGAACTACAGTGTTTTGTATGTGTACCCTCTTAAGAGAGCCATGTCTACTTATTAAGTCTGGGTTATCGTGGAAGATACAGTTAGATGCAGGCTCTTTGCAGCAGCAGGTGTCTTGATACCTTTTGGAAAACGTTGCAAAAGAATACTGAGAATATGCTTTAACAGGTAAAGGCGGTGCAACAGTGTGTTATTTAATCTTTCCAATGGGTTTATTTAGGAGAAAGAAGCTAAAAAAAAAAAAAGGTTGCTTAGTTTTAACTTTTCCTTGGTCTCTTCTGCTGTTGTTCTTTGGACTTGCAGCGACATGTTGTGGGAGAAATTGATGCTGTACAAAGCTGCTTGTTTTAGAACCAATTAAAAGGGAGCAGTCATGGAGACTGCTGTGTATTTCTTTGCAGTAAAGAATTGCTGCCCCAAGGATAATAGAGCAGCTAATATGAAGAATCTGGTTAGTACTGGTTCAATTAATTGAGTATTGTTCTGATATTGTAGCATACAGTACAAATAATGTGAGCTGTGTTTTTTTTCCTTTTAATACATCTATTTGCAAAAAGATATGCATTACCATCTGCTTAATCCCTGATTTCTCCACTGAAATACTTCCCTGATGCCATGTCTATTGTTTTGTTGCTAGGTGTGACATGCTTTCCTCTTAACAATCCCACAGCAGGCTTTTTATAAGTGCTATATAGCAATTAATTTACAATGATCATTTCCTTACCTGATACATTTTGGATGTTGATAGAGTTCATCTGCATTTTTTAATGCTTTGCATGCATTTCCAATGAAGAAGGTGCTGGATTGTGTTTTTAAAGAAATGAACACTGTAAGACTTCATTCTAGAACTTAAATATGTTCAAAGTCATCATACTGAGTTGAGATTCCTAGCTTTCCAATAGCATTATCTCTGACCTCACTTGCACCCACTGTAGAACACGAACAAGCTTGTTTACCATCTAGTGTAGCCGTAGCTCTTAGCTGCTAACTCACTGTGTACTGCTTTTATCAGTGATGTGGTTGTAGGAGAAATGGTAATAAATTTCATTTGAGGTTAACACCTGATTTAACCTGAGTCAATTATTGCAGGTGTGGGCAGAATGGCATTAAATCTGAACTGGTGCAATCCCTTAAATGTTACAGCCAGCACTTCTGGGTTTGTTTGGGTTTTTTCTCTCCAAAATCTGTTGCTGAAAGAATAGTTATTCTTTTCCTTAAGAATTCATTCCTTTGTTGGATTTTCTTATCCCCTTGGGCAGAACAGCCAAAATTTCTGAATTCTTGTCCAGTTCATGGCTCAGATTTAACCTGTGGCAAGGTCCTATCTAGGTCCTAAATAATTTTAGTTGCCTCTGATCTGCCTCTGTATGTGCAGCCCTGTCAGCTGGCAGGCACTGTGACCACTGTGTGTATTGACCATGACGTACAAGTGCCTAAAACCCACCTGTCTCTGTGGCTTCAAGACACAAGACAGTCTTGCTGTGAAGAGTGCATGACACAGGTGCAGTGGCAGTTTGTGCTGTCATCGCTTCTTTGAGTGTTGTTTCAAGGAAAACGCCTATCTTACCTGTTCTCCAAAATCTACATATTCTACAGTCTTCGGTTTACAACTTGGGCGTCCGCAGCATTTGGCTGCTTACTAATAATAGAGCCGCGTGTTTAAGCACCCTCCCAGATCTCAGTAGGGGATAATCTTTCTATAACCTTCATCTATGCTTGCAATTTTGTTAAAGTAGATGCTTCTGTTTTACAGTGAAAAAAAGTGGTTAATGTTGCTGCTGTTTTCGGCATGTAAGAGCTGTAACTCCATGATTGGAATCGTTACTGTGGTACACCATATAAACGTGAGGAACTTTGTAAATGTGATACTGGAACATAATGCCCCACTGGAACTTGCGTACGGTTCAGGTTAGTATTCAGGCTTAGAAGCACTGTAGCATGTTACAGTGTGACACCTGGGCAATGCAAAAATTTATCTCCAGCTCTGTTGTACTGACTCTACTAAAATTGCAGTGTGAAATCCTCGCTCCATTTTATACAAAAGTAACTATTTAGGGAAAGAGTTTAAAAAAAAAACTTTTCTGTTACAGGGAAGAGGGGATTTCCCATCCACTTCAACCTGACAAGATCAGGTGTTTGCTGGCTGAGGATGAGATGCGGTGGCGGTGAGCGGTCCCGGCACCTTTTAATTGCATTTCTGTTGGGTTTGGGGCTCTCTGGGGGCGAGGCTCGGAACGCCAAGCAGCCCCTTACTTCTCCCCCGCCGCGCTCTCGGCCTTCCATAGCGCTGCCTGGCTCCTGTGGCCGGCGCTCGACGCGCGCTGCCTGGCGCTGCCGCTCGGGCTGCTGGGTCGGGTCGGGGCGCTGCGCAGCGGCCTGGCTCCGCTCCTGCCCGCTCAGCTTTTTGGAGGTCCCGGCCGCGCGTCGAGAGACGGCACGGCACGGGACGTGACGGGGGGTCTGCGCGGCTCCGCTCACTTCATCTTCCACCCACCGCACCGGGTCCAGCTCGGACCGCCGCAGCCATGACCACGGAGGACGAGATCATCCGCATCGCCAAGAAGATGGACAAGATGGTGCAGAAGAAGAACGCGGTGAGCGGGGATGGGATGGGGCGGGACGGGAGGTAGCTCGGCAGCGCGGAGACACCGCGGGCCCCGGCCATCCCCGCGCTCCTTCCCTTCAGCGGGCCCCGGGTCCGTCCCCGCCCCTCCCGGCACGGGGCCTTTTGCCCGGCTCCGTTTCAACCTAGAAACTGCGGAGCCCCCGGCACGCCCGCCGCGGGGTCCCTAGCCTTGTCAGCCGGGCCTCCTCCCCGGCGGGTTATTCTGGCCATCCTCGGCGGCGGTCGGGGAGCCGTGCCTCTTCCTCTCCAGCGCGATATCGCGCCCGGCGTCTCCGACCGGGAGGAGGCTCCTGTCCCGGCGCCGAGCGGCGCGCACTGAGCACTAATCTGCGCTTCCCTCCTCTCCCCCATTCATTAAAATCGCAGTAGTGGTGAGGCACGGGCACAGGTTGCCTAGAGAAGCTGTGGCTGCCCCATCCCTGGCAGTGTTCAAGGCCGGGTTGGACGGGGCTTGGAGCAACCTGGCCTAGTGGAAGGTGTCTCTGCCCATGGCAGGGGAGTTGGAACTTGGAAGAACTTCAAGGCCCCTTTCAACCCAAACAGTGCTGTGATTCTGTGATAATACCAGCCTTGCTCAAGAGACAGCGTTGTTTGGGTGATAATACCGGCCTTGATCGAGAGCAGGACGTGAAGTGATGGGGAAGCCCGGCCGACTAGAGGAGAGTGACTGCGGAGCGGGTTTCCTTTAGATGGGTTGATTGCGCTTCCAAGCATGAAGGCTGGAGCTTTATGTGGGGTGTGTATCTGGGTATGAATGAAGAATCCTAATAAGTTTAGCTCCAGAATAGAGGTAGACTACAGTTAGGTAGAATTCAGTTAGCTTACTTCAAGTGGTATTCTCATACCCTTGATATAGAGCTTACTTAGGTAACATTACAGTGTTTATGCTGTTGCTACAAGAACATCAAAATACATAAAATCAGAGTGTGCAGTAACAGCAAATATCTGATTATGGTTACATGTAAAATAGCATACAAGTATATTGCAAAGTGTGTTTACTGCTTATCAGCAAGGCGCATAGTTGTTCTCTTGTAATTTGTGTATTTATGATCCTGCTCTTCTTGCTATTTTAATACATAAAGTTAAGCTTGGTTTTTGTTGGTTTTTTTTTTCTGTGTGTTATAATAGTACATTAAATGCTCAATATTAAGTGAGTGGTGTGGAATTTCAATTTATAAAAGGGTTGTTGGTTTTTTTTTTCCATTAAAGATAATAGAAATTGTAAGTATTTTTTTTTTATAAGGTTTGCATGTTTATAGAAATACTGATGGCATTAAACCAATGGAATTTGTTTCATTCAGAATCCAGACAAATTAACTGCAAGGGCACACAGGCTATGCTTTGCTTTGTTTCAAAATCCTTGATGTTCTGTAATATTGCATGGTTTAATTTTGATGCCTTTGAACCCTCTAATGATACAATGTGGAGGCAGGAGCCTTGTCTAGTGAAAGGAATTTTTTATTACCAACATTTATTCATTTGATTTATTTTTTCCTTTTGGTCTTCTCCCGCTTTCTTTTCATTTCTATTCTCCATGCTTTTCAGCACAGAAGAATTCACTGCCTCACTTTCCTGACTTTAAAAGTAGTGTCTCTTTTCTATGAGGTGTCAAAGGGTGGAAATATACTGACTGAAATCTTTAAATACTATGGAAATGAGAATGATAAAGTGTAGTCAGTTCATAGAATCATAGAACAGTTAGGGTTGGAAAGGACAGGTTTACTTGGAAGACTTCTGAATATAGAAACAAAATGCAATTCCCAGTTAATACAGGAATGATTATTGGTGCTGGAGAGCAGCACTGCAGTGATACCAGAGATGTTCCAGGTGACCACAGTGTATTTCTCTATAATCTTGGAGGTTTAAGAGTTTGGATGTAATTCCTAGCAGCAGCTGGGGACACGTATTTGTACTGTAGCATGTGTAACCTACTGACCTTTAAAATCTATATGGAGCAGTGCAGTGTTTTTGCTGGGATCAGGGTAGGTCAATTTACCAGACTCGGCAGGCACAGCTGGTCCAGCCAGAGCCAGCACTTGGGTCTTCATCTTCACCCCTTTCCCAGGCTCAAGAGTGACGGGAGCACCAGAAGCAGTTGTGATTTTGTACTTCGTTGGGACGGAGCTCGTTTGTTCCACATCATTACTGCATACAGGAGGCTCTGTTGTTAGTCTGAGGCTGTCTCAAAAACCTTCTGAGGTTGAGGGCTTGAGCTGCCTCTGTGGCCAGTAGTGGAGATCTGACATTTTATCCAAAGCACGTGTACATAAAAACACTTAGTTGTAGATAGGAGAGGAACTACATCAGTATTTAACTGAGATATCTCTGTCCTTTTCTTACTAGCATTTGTCATTTAGAAGGTATTTCTTCTTTAATTGCACAATATGATTTCCTACTTAATCCTGCCCTCCAGTTAGAATTTTAACTTTAGCAAAATTAAGGTAATTTCTATGAAGAGGTACTTCATTGACTCACAAATTTGAAGCTGAATGAGAAATTCATTCTTAACTAAGTACCTGCTAGATAATGGTGCTCCTGACAACCTCTTGTATTCCTTGCTCCATTTTTACCCAACAAGAACAGGTATTTGGTGTATATCTTTGAGAATGATTTGAAGCCCCTCAATTAAAAAAATAATTAAAAAAAGGGATTTAGTTGCAGGTGTGAAGATTTCCTAACTATTTTAATGAAGTGATATAGGCAGTTCTTTTGGTTTGAAGGACAAAATAATAATGAAATGTTGTATTTAATACAATGTGAGATAAATATTTCTGCTGTTACTTCAGATACTTTGAAATAGATACTCCTCCTTCAGAATAGCTGTGATTGGATTAAAACACGTGTAGTGCCTTCCTTATAGCTTTTGTTGTACATAAATGCACTTTCATTAAGCTGCTGTAATGAACAAGTATGAAAAAAGGGTTGGGTTAAAAAAATCAAGAGCAATTGAGTAAGTTTAGAGAAGATGTAAAATTGTCCATGTTATTATTAAATGATTGCTGCCTTAAGTAGAACAGAATTCTAACTGAATGGCTCGGCTGTCTTGAGAAACATACTCCGTTAGCTTTAAAATATGAATATGTGACATCATTCTGGTGTTGTGATTTGACCAACTGTGGGAAGCTGAGAGGAGTAGTCTACTAAATCTGTATGAAGCTGACTTCGTTAGTTCAAGTAGCAACCTAAACTGAAAGCCAGCTGTCCTAGTGGAATAGGGCATTGCCTTTCATTTACTATAAAATTATAGAAATGCTTTTTAAAGAAGATTCATAATAATGTGGTTTTGTGTTGTTTTTTTTTTAACATTACGTTAGAAAAATAGGAATTGCAAGATTTGCGGTGCAGTTTCCAGTCTGGTTTTGCAAAAAGGAAGGACTTTGTGCCAAGAAAAGCGGTTATGAAAAACTGTTCAGTTGCCGTGAGTTTAAACTCAAATTAAATTTCATTTTAAAGCATCTAATTCTTGGTACACTTAATATAGTTGATTAGAGTGAAAACCTAGAAAGCATTAGTGCATCAGAAATTTTGGTAATTTGGTACAGAAAACAGTATGAAATGTAGGTAACATCTGTGTAGATAATACCTGGATGGGTTTTTTTTTACTTGTTGCCTGGTTTGTTAACCTACAGTGTATCAAGTTACTAGTTTTGGAAAACATTTAGACTTGGAGTACTAAAGTTGCTTGACATGTAGAGTTGGAAAGGGATTTTGGAGGCAAAGGAATTCTGACTAGACTATTTCTAAGATGAGGTGAGGAGAATGCTACTTTGCATTGCAGCATCATTGTTATGCTGAAATTGCAGACTACAATAACCTTGGTTTATTTTGAAATACTGTTCCCAGTTTGCTAAGTATTGGTTCAGAGGTGTTATTGGATTGTACGTTTGAAAATGGCATGTTGACTTTTGTCATTCATTTTGTTTCAGCTAAGAAAGTTTCCTTGAATTTGTTTTGTAGCAGTGAGGATAATTAACTTGCTTTACTTGGATCTGTGTTTGCACAGAAGAGACCACATTTACGGCTGTGTAGAAGAAATGGTTTAGTATGTTAAGTCAGTTTAGCTCCTGAAAACAGCATAACATTGCCCAGTCTTGGATTATTGCTGCTATAAAAGTTTTGTATATCACGAATAGAAATTAAATAAGACTTCTTTAGTTTTGTAAGTGAATTGAATTTGTGTAAGGTGGGACATAGTGAAACGTTTGTTTTTTGTTTTTAGAGGCTTCTCTGCTATCAGGTGTTTTTAAAAAAACAGAGGTTGTAGCAGACATTTGAAAATATGCAAAGCTGTGCCTGTTGCATGTGGCCCAGAAGTTCCACTTTCATTGTTCTCAGCTTCTGGGTGGTTATTTTATGTGCTGTCTTTAGTGGTTAAATTGTAAAACCTTCAGATGCAGCAGATTACAAGCATTTACTTGCAACAGGTGTCATATTAGAAGTTGAGTAGGGATAATTTAAAAATAAAGGCAAGGAAAATGCATATTAAAGTAACCAAAAATAGGATGTGTTGAGAGAGAGGTAAGGAAATAGGAATCAAATTCCAAAGATCTGCAGGATGGAAATTTTGTGGGGTTTATTTCTAAACCTCATGAATCAAAAAACCAAAACAGAGGGAAGGTGGCTTAGCCTGAGTGGTCTCTTGTGTGCAAAGCGTGTACAGTAAGATGTGGATGGTGCAGAGTTTTGCTTAAGTAGTGTAAATTATCAAGGGTAGTTAGAGATTAAAGTAAATCATGAAGCTAACATTTATGAAAATTTTGGTTTTAAGTAAGGCCAACATTGCCAAGGAATGAATTGTTAAGAGTAGCTGTGTATAGAGTTTATTAATACCTAACAGTTAAGTCTCTGAAATTGTCATCTATCTAGAAAGTTGCTGCTTAAACAGTGTTAATTTTTGCTTTTCCTTATGGTCTTAGCATAGGAAAAGCATAAAAGAAAAGCCCACAATGGCTGAATAATAAACAAGGGGATTAGCTCAGATGTTACAGCACATTAGGGTGGGCTCTGGCTTCTAGTTTGCAACACGCTGATGCTTTGCCAGTCTTGTATAGGCTGTAGAGTGTTTTCTGCAGTAATCTGTATTTCATTGAATTAATACTCAAATTTAATAGTTGAAAATAAGACTTGAAAGACAAGTCTTGCTCAGCTTTTTTTATTTAGGCATACCCACAAAGATATCTTTTTCTCTGGGGGAAACTATAGCTTTGTCTAGTAAAATAGTGTAATCTGATCATGGTTTTTAAACCAGTAAACTACTTTGGCTTTACCACACCGCTGCAAGAATGTTTGCTATATATGGTTTCTATATATTTATATGTATGTATATATGCACGTTACTGAGGCACTGTGCAGAGCTTCTCAACTCCAAGTTCTTGTGCTAAAACATCAGATTGTTCTGAACTGAAAATTGGTGCAGTTTTCTGGGTTGTTTTCTGATGCTGTTAAGTGAAGTGCCCTTGAGGCTGTTTTCCTGAGGATGTGTGTTGGTTAAGTAGTAATTGACAATGCATTTCAATTATATGGCATAAAGCTTTTCTAGTCTTTGAATGAATACTTTGATTTCTGAGTTAAGACCTGTTAATGCTTAGAGTTTGTGAAGGAGAACTTTCCTTGGCTTAGAGTAGTTCTGTGGATAATTTGGGAACTGTTGATTTGAATCCAATCTGCGACCTTGAAAGCAGATAAGAAAGAGTATGTTGTTGTTATGTTATGTTTAAAGTACTTGATTGCTACTGAATTTGACTTTTTTTGTTTCTTTTTTTTGCAGGCTGGAGCTCTTGATTTATTGAAGGAGCTTAAGAATATTCCCATGACCCTTGAGTTGTTGCAGGTATTATTTTCTTATGGTTGTTATGTTGCAGATATTAACTCTGATGACGGTGAAGCCAGAAAATGTTGAAGAAGATTGCACTATTAAAGTAGATTCCTCTGCTGAAACTCCTTTGAAAAATGAGTGTTATATAGTATATATTATACTTCATATATATATGTTATATATATTATATTGAGATGTTGTATTCCATATTGTGTATATATATACACACACATTGAGAAAAGCACTGCTAGATGATATAATAGTTTCATTATTCCTGTCTAATATGAGAAGTGACATATTTTCCTGTAATATGACTGTTGTTTCAGTCTGAGCTGTCAAGCTCCTCTGAGCAATTTACAGGTGTATGGAACAGGAAGGTGCACATCAGTAGTCTGGACTTGTGCTTGTGTCATTCTTGAGGGAATTTTGTCACGGAAAGCTGAAGTGGCTACAGACAATAATATGACTGTGTCGTGTCTAATGAGCTTTATGTAAGCAAGTTGATCCTTGCTTAGCTAGGGAGAGAGCCAGTAGCCTTCCTCACATGTGATTTATCCAGTGGTCAGAGTTGCAAATCTATTTAGCAGCCACACAGTATTAAAGGCATCGTGTCCCTCGTGCTAATTGTGGGTAGTGCACAGCTAAACAAACAGGTTTTACTGGAAATTGCATACAAGTATGCAAAACTAGGCTGTAATCTGCAGTCATTGTTAATGACTTCTTGCCGGCTAATGGGATCTGGGAAACCTAGAGGTGGTTATTCTTCAGGGCTTGATTTGATTTTGCTTTGGTCCAGGAGCTCCCCAATTCTCTGTCCTCCTGCTCTCTCACAATTTAAAAGTTGCTAACACCTCTTTCTGCTTCAATGGTTACTTCATCAGCTATGTTCCTTAATTTTTTTCATTTGCTCTGGTTTAGAGAAGACTAGCTGCCACCATACGCTTTGTGTTGGGTTTAGTCATAGGTTACATATGCTATTGCTCATACGAACTGAAGGCTACTTAGCCTGAAGCTTGAATGCTTCAGGGATGAAAACAGCTGTTTTGTGCTGTCTCTGAGCCTCTTTACTCAGCAAGCAGATGGAAGGTGGTCTAGAATTTGAAATGGGGAAGAATGATCCATTAAAATGCATTTTGGACTGGCTGAAAAAGGTTTTTATATACCTACACACTTATGAAATGTCACAGAGAGAAAGCAATTCAACAAGTAACAATGGGCTAGGCAAAAATACTGGAGTTTTCTGCTTAAAAAGACTCTGACAAGAGCAGCTCTGCAGGATGGAAGACTGAAGAAATTTCAAATGCTGACAGCTGATTTATCTTTAAAGCACTGTAATTTTGAGAACATAACACTGATCTTTCGCAATTACCAGTGTCAGTTTGCAGGCAAATAAATTGGTGGGTCATTCCTTCCCCTCTCTTTAGGCAAGGCGAGGTCAAGTGTTCTATAAAAGCAAGCAAATTAACTATGTTTATGTACTGCCTTTTTAGTAAACTGTTAGACAGTTACCATAATGTTTCTCTTGTGTGATCAGAAGAAGAGAACAATTTATCCAATTAATTTTGAGTTTTACTTGATTTTTTGAGTTTTATTTGTGTAAATAAGTCTGTAAGTTGGTGTCTTTTACTTGAGGAGAGTAGGCTGTGGTTGTGCACAGTTATCAAGGGAGGGTTGGGTTTTTTTTTATAGATACCTGAATGAGAAAAATGAAATAGCTACTGAATATTTCAATACATTTCTAGTCATGTAGTGCATCCATGGTGCCCCAAGGAAGTGTTGTGTGGGTTGTAAGGAGTAATTTACAAGAACAAATCATTTCCATTCTTAGCAAGTCACAAAGATTGAAATTTCCCTTTAAAGGAGAAGGAAATTTAGGATGAACTATTGCAAAAGTAAATAGAAAATTTATAGTTAGTGAGTCCCATAAATGGTAAATGCAACAAACCTGGTCTTTTAAGAACAAAATAATTGTAGTTATTAGTCAAAATATGAAATGATAATACAATCCTTATTTGTGGTGTTAAATGCTTTTCTCCTCTCGTGAAACTGAAAGTGTGGGAAAGTTTTACTTGTTGGGTTAACACCTTAGTCAGAAGTCTTCTAAAATGAAACTGTTGTTGCCTTTGAGCTAAATTTATTATCCTAATCTTCCCAGTCTTAAAAGGAGTGAATTGTAAATGAATCTGCTTTTCATTCTATAGGTGGCAGTAGTGCCAAAGGTTTAAAGCCTGTCACTATCTTAGCCTTTTCAAAGGGGTAGGCTAGTCTTAATTGGTTCTATCTAAAAGCAAAACCCTATGTGCTTAAGATTTTAAAGAATCTCAGTATCACCAAAATTATTAGGAACCTAAAACGTGGTCTTTCCCAATTAGTATTGCCACTTCTATTGCAGCCACAAAACAGGAATTCTAAGAGTCACTGAAGCAGCCAGCAAGCTTCTGATTATGCCAAAACATAAATACAGTCACTGCTGCACAGAAAAATAAGGCTTTGAGGCTAGAATCCCTGCTAAAAACTATATAATGTGAAGATGTAGGTACAGTTTTTGCGCTGTTAGATGTTTTGTATGTTGTACTTAGTTTAAGTAAGTAGTTCTGCTGAGTTGTTTTTGAGTGGTTTGGGAGCAAAAATCTGATTGACTCTTCTTGCTGCCCTCTCCTCCCTCCAACTTCTGTGATGGCAACAAATGGTAATACTATTGTATTTCTTTTTAAAATGTCCATGTTAAAATAAGTTTTGTGAAGGCTGGCATGACTTCATCCTGATATTCTTCTAACCAAAGCAAGAACAAAACAACCAAACCCCACAGCACAAAACCAGGAAAAAGTATACTTTAAAAAATATACGTAAAAGTACAACTTTATGTATGTTTGCTTGTTAAATTGTCTTCATGTCACCTCTCATAGCGGGTTTTTTTTTCTTTCTTTTGCAGTCTACCAGAATTGGAATGTCAGTGAATGCAATACGCAAACAGAGCACAGATGAAGAAGTTACATCTTTAGCAAAATCTCTGATCAAGTCTTGGAAAAAACTGTTAGGTATGGTGACACAAACGTTCTTCCATGTTCTCCCTGTTCTTGCATGTTTTAACTGTATGCAGTCTTAATGCAAAACCTAGACACTACCTTTATTTAGATATATTTGTGCTCCTGTGTAAGTATTGAAACTTTCTGCACTGAGGTAGCTGGTTTTTACTCTTTGACTATCACCAGTGCAGTACTCTGAAAGGGCATTGATGGGAAAGGTTAATATGTTTTTACTGGGGCTGGTGAGCAGTAGGAAGCCAGTTTCTGTGACATGACTCATTTCTGAAGTCTCATTGCTTGCTGTTGAGCTAGAGTGACTGTATTGCCAGTACTAAGCAGTAACGAACCTGTTCTGGACTATTTCCTTTGTCAAATACAACAGGTGCTCTGAAAAGCTTGTGCAGAATCTTGTATGAGAGTGTGGTGGCTTTGAAGTTTGGTTATAAAGTGATGTGTGAAGAGGAAGAAAACAGAAAAAAAAATAGACGTTAAAAGTCTGTTAGAACTTACAGGTAGTGGGAAATAGATCTGTAATTTCTAAAACCTGCATAAACAACTTACCAATTAGTGACTTAATAATTTTTGTTTAATTTTCCTTAAGGCAGTGAATGCAGTTAATGGGAAATTTCTTGTTAGCAGGGTTTTATTCAGGGTTATTTTGTAGTACTTAATGGGTTTGAAAATATTCAAATCTCAAACTGAGTCCAGCTGTTTTTGTTCACACGCTGTACTCTGTGTCATTTCTTTGTATCTCATTTCTTTGTATCTCATTTTAGGTAAACTAAGATTTAGGAAGGTTAAAGTTTGAAACAGGTAACAGTTTACTTAATGTTCTGCTGATGGAAATATGTGGCATTCTGTCTAAATACCTGGAAAAAGTTAGAGTTCCCTGCCATTTGAAGTCAGCTTCATTTTCATCAATGGTGAAGTATTTTGTTGGGTATTTTATTACTCTCTTGTAAATGGTTTAGAAATTACTTTGTATCCATCTGACAGTATATGTATGTAGAAACAGAATTTGTCACTGCTGTCATAGAATAGAATAGTTAGTGTTGGAAAGGATCTTAAGATCATCTGGTTCCAATCCCCCTGCCAAGGGCAGGGACACTTGCTACTAGACCGGGTTATTCAAAGCCTCATCCAGCCTGACCTGGAACACTGCCAGGGATGGAGCATTCACCACTTCTCTGGGCAACCTGTTCCTGTGCCTCAGCACCCTCACAGTAAAGAACTTCTTCCTTACATCCAACCTGAACTTCCCCTGTGTAAGTTTGAACTCGTTACCTCTTGTCCTATCACTATGTCCTGGGTTCAGCAGTAGCAGTCATGTTTCTCCTCCTTGGTAGCTGGTGCAGTGCAGTGTTTTGACTTTCGGCTCGGGAACAGAGCTGATAGAGATGTTTTGGTTTGGCCAAGGACTTTGTGAGCCTCATGCTCTGCCAGGGAGGAGGGGAAGCCAGGAGGAAGCAGAGACAGGACACCTGACCCAAACTGACCAAAGAGCTATTCCATACCACAGCACGTCATACCCAGGATGTAACTGGGAGTTAGCTGGAAGGGCTGGGAGACTGCAGGGTTGGAGGAGGTATCGGTCGGAGCTTGGTCGGGCTTGGGGGGCGAGTTATCGGTCAGTGGGTGGTGAGGTGTTGTATTCTGTTCCCTTGTTATTTCCTTTATCATTATTATCATTGGTGGTAGCAGTAGTGATTTGTGTTATACCTTAGTTACTAAACTGTTCTTATCTCAACCCGTGGGAGTTGCATTCTTTTGATTCTCCTCTCCGTCCCTCCGAGAGCAGGGGGAGGGCAAGAAAGGGGGGGAAGTGAGTGAACGAATTACCTGACTGGGTTTAAACCACGACAGTTCTTTTTTGGCGCCCAACGTGGGGCACGAAGGGTTGAGATAACGACAGATTTGACTGGATTAATAGTCATTCGTCACAATGCTGATTTATTGGGTATCAGAGTTGTTCTTCTTGATCTCACAGCTTCAGAATGTTGTAACTTACGTAGAGCCGGTATTTGCTGTGATAGTGTTTATCACAACAACTACTACAATCCTGTCACCTTCTACATTCTAGTAAGAAGCAACACTCTCTACAGCAGACATAATTTTTTATCCTTCATTTTAAAAGTTAGATAATAGTAAATAGGTTAGTTTTAGTAATTAGGTAATGCTAGATATGGTGATAAAATATTTTTTAATTTATGGTAATGATTTACAGATTAAATGTGTACTTCATAAAGGATCTGATCAGAGTTCAGTGGCAAATAGTGCACATTATGTACTTTTTATTTTTATATTTCCACTTAGAATTTGAAGTCCAACTGTATTCTATCCAGTGCATGAAATGGTAAGATACATAAGTGGAGAAATGGACTTACATGTTGAGTTATTCTAAAGACTTCTAAAAGCAGCAGCTGGATTAAGTAAACTAGCTCTCGAGTTACTAACCTAAATGAAAATTCAAAAAAGGCCCTATCAAAGTTATTTTTTCTTTTTAATCTAAAGGTTCAAATTTGTGATACTGCGACTTAGTTTAGGCAACAAAGTAGAGGAAATACTCTTCCCCCCTACCCCTTCCTGAATTAGCATTTCTGGGGATTGCCGTTGGATGATACAGCTTTTTTTAGGGGGGGGAGAGGGGTGAGCAGTGGGTGAGGTGGTGCTAATGAGCAAAGGAATGGGTGTGTATTTGTTGAGGCTGTAAAAATAGCCTTGTCTCTTCTTTTTTTCTTTTTTTTTTTAACAGCGCATCCTAAGTCAGTAAACTTGTCTTTCTATATTGTTTCTAACAGCTGACTGATCCTTAAATGTTCAAACATTGTGAAACACAGGGAGTAGTATTCCCTCCAGAGAACCAGAGTGTGTTCATGCTGTGGAAATCTGGAGTAAGACTGTGGTGCCTGGTGGCTGCAGCAGGTCAATCTGGGTGCAGACCTCTGCTGAAAGGGGTGGTCCTGGCTTCCCTCCTGTGCTACAACTGATGCTCAAGTAGCTATCCAGGAGACCAGAGCTGGGAACTGACCAGTTAATGGCTTTGTTCATTTCTTCTGGCTTGTGTTTCAACTGTGTCAGTTTTCTGGTCCAGCCTGTTTGCAGTTACTGTTTTCTGCACAGAGATTGTGGCAGTAACCTATAGTTGGAGCAAGGTGGACCTTCCCCTTTTGGTGGCTCACACATTCAGATCGTTTTAAGACAGTTGGGAGGCTTCTTGCATTAGGTGAAGTCAAACATATGATAAATTGGAAAGTAAATAGCAAATACTTGACATTAATCAGAACTGAATACTTTCTTCTTGAGGCAATGGGTATGTGACTGTTTGTGTTCTAATTTTTGTTGTAGGGAAGGTACTATTGCATGCACACTATTGTGCCAGGTCTAGCATAGTTTGGTTGTGCACTTCCTACATAAAAACAGATTATTCCTGAAAAAACAGCAGTGCTTGAATTCAAAACTTAGTTAAATTCTCCTTGATTGTGATTCAGACCTTATAATAAGGCATAGTAGGGCAAAAGTTTCACCTCATTTCATTGCTTAATAATTAATTAGAACTTGAAATTTCATAAGTATGGAAGGTAGGCTCTCTGGGCTGCACAAAGTATGGGTGAGAATCTTACAAAGTACTCTTACTCAGTTTTGTCATTAGTTTTGACTTTCTCAGAAGAATATGAAATACCTTATGTTGAGCTGCTTGAGAAATCAGTTTCCATTGTGCTGTTCATAGTGCATGTAAAATGGTATGGATCAAAGATGGCAGCAGAAGCAGACAGCTGTTAATCATACCAAGCACTGTACTCAGAGATCTGAAGTCTTTGTGAGTTATTTTTATAAATGACATTTTGAATTTAGGCAAGAATTGTTGACTGTTCAGGCTGCAAGTACTGTTTAAGTTCAATGCTATTGGAACTTATCTTTTAAGAACGTATGGGAAACATGAGAAGGAATCAAAGTCAGGTTGTGAATCACCAGATGTTTATAGCTTGACTAGAGCCATGGAAGGCTACCAGTGTTTCTTAAGGGGTGTCAAAGGCTGCCCAGCACAAGGCTTCCAAGTGTTGTCTGAAGTGACTCACTGAGTGAGCTACAGTGGGAGATCACTTCTAGATGTTGCTGTAAAAATGTTAAACCACACAGCTGAGTTGGTCACAGTTTACATAAGGAAGCAAATTCAGCTCTCAGAATAAAATACTGTGGAGTTATAACACAGGATTTGCAGATGATTGTTTTGCCAAGTGGCTGAATATATAGGGCATGCTATGCAGATAATGGATTTATGCACACCCATTTTAGGTTGAGGAGTGTTTCTTTTTATTAAAAACCAACAAATTCTTAAAGGAATTTAACATTCTTCATCACAAGTAGTTACTTGCTGAACTCTTTAAGAGTATATAGTGAAAAAGAATGTCCAGATCTCTAAGTAGACTTCAGTAAGTTTATATACTGAACTGGCAATACAGAATTACTCCAGTAAGTTTATATACTGAACTGGAAATGCAAACTGATCGGACAGTCATTTTAACATTAAGTGCATGTGTGATACCTATTGCTGGTACTAAAAACTAAAAATAGTCTCATGAGCATTTTGAAATGCCTATTCCAAAAAAAGTGCATGCCTGAGTAATTTTATTTTAAAAGAAAGTTGAAGTGCTTGATGTTGTCAAGAGACGGTAACACCAGCCAGACTTCACAGGAGTGTTTTACTCTTGATTACTTTGTTCATGGAATCCTTTGTTATTTCAAACCTGGGTTTGATTCTACTGGAGCAAGCTGGAAAGGTCTAAGATTATCTTACAGTTATGTTAATGCTGTGTCCTGGGTTCAGCAGTAGCATTCATTTTTCTCCTTCTTAGTAGGTGGTGCAGTGCTGTGTTTTTGACTTTCAGCCTGGGAACACCGCTGATAACACCAGTGTTTTTAGTTACTGCTCAAATGTTTACTCTGGCCAAGCACTTTCTGAGTCTCATGCTCTGCCAGGGAGGAGGGGAAGCCGGGAGGAAGCAGAGACATGA